GTGCATCTTAAAACATCCCTCTTGGCTCAAACGGGTCCATACTTCAACCATGCATTATTACCTATAAAAACAGATGAAAAAATTTCAAACTCAACAATATGTACACAATATCACAAAATATACAACAATATGTAAATTATACAAAAAGTACACAAAACAGGGGATTATTAACGGAAACCAACGAGTCAAGCCAATAAGTGTCAATTACTCACACTAAAAAGCGGTACAATTTAGCACTTATCACAACTCAACATGGATTGTAAGCAGGTAGAATCGTGGATGACACATAAGCAAACTAGTGGAAGCCTAGAGATCGAACGTGGAGAAAATAAAATATTCCCTAGTGGCCATAACCTTCGTTGACAATTACTTTGTAAATAAAATTAATAGCAGACTCATACATGGGACTAAAGGTCGCAATATTTTATACATGCTCTCCATACCACTGGATTACCCGAGTTAATTTGCGAATTAGTTTATCGGGAAACATGTACGCGTTCGCGTCCAATCTTTTCATTACTTTTTTGTTTCCTCGAACAAAAAATTTATTTGTACTCTTGCATTGTTTAATGTCATTTTTTTTGCATTTTACCTTGTCCTTTATCATAACTTAACTTCATTTGAAGTCTTTTTCTACGTCGTTATCGTTCAAACGACGACTGCATTCAATTCACACGCACGTGTGTTCACACAAATCATTTGCACAAATTGCTTTGAAGATTTTTTGATTTAACCTCACATAATTTATAAACTCGTGATTGTTTACCAAAAACAACGATAAACAAAGATAAATCTATAAAAAAAATAAAGGCACCTTTTTTGTTCTAAATAAAACATAAAATTGCAGGTGTTGGGAATCGAATTTCAAACCCTCAGCATTTTTTATGTTGATTTCTATAAAAACCGAGAAAAAAAGATTGATTTTTTTAAAACGAAGCATGTCGCTCGCAGGACCTATACCCTCGATTGTTTATTTTTCGAGGTTTAAAATTTGTCATAAAAAACGTTATTTGTTGTAGTGATAAACTTATTTTTTATGAAAAAGTCAGGGCTTCGTGGATGTAAACAATCCTACTTATGGAAAGGTGTCCCGATTAAATATGTGGTATATAGAGATACAAATGTTGGTATAGGCAGCTACATAGGAAAATATGTAAAGGAACTAAGGAGGGAAAACTTGATTTTATGTATTACTTCTTATATAGTCTATTTTAACTTATTTAATATCTTATTAATTTCTTTTACCCACATATAACACGAACATCCTTAACGAACTCATCCTAATGAGAAAGCCCTTAAAAAGAACACCTATCCAGCATCTTCATCCACACCAGAAGGTAGATACGTCAGTGTTGGCTCAGAAGGAAGCTAGGGAAAGAGATATAATATAGAATCATGAGCAACCTAAGAGTCTACCTAATGGAGCCACAAAAGAGGGGAAAATGATCCAAGTCCATCCTTTAAGACGCGATACAAGAAATCTCATGATTATTCAAAGAATAGTGCAACAGATTGGGCCCAATTGAAGGCAATGAATGATGATTCTTTGAGAAGAGAGAAAGATAAGGGGACGATCCAGGGTGGACAAGATCCAAAAAGGTTCGAAGTAGCGACAAAAGAATCTAAAAGGTTGGCCTTAAAGGAAACCCAAAGTGCACTGCCTACCTTATATACGCTATATAGTGGTACCCTGCTCTACAAAAGATGTTTATGCCAACTATCTAGAGGGCAATAACACTTGTTATCATTGCCATAATAACACTATGGAGTACGAAGTCACCGAGTAGAAAACTCAATGGTTTGACCCCCATGTTGTACTTGGAAGTCACAACTTTCTTGATGATGACACTTGTGAAGGCGAAGAAAGCTTATTTTTTTCATCTTAGACATCTAACTCTTCTCTGATGGGATGCAAATTTTTTCCCTTCTTATAAATGATGCATTGTTGACAGGTTTAAAATAAAGACTCAAAGGATTTAGAGGAAACTGTGTGTAGGAACTCCTGCATGTTCTCTGAGCATATCAAACCATTCCTTTTTCAACAATCGGTGAAAGAGCCCTTGGTTTGTGCTTCTCCTTTGAATTGGGAGATGACCAAATGTGAATATGTTCATAATTTGATTTCTTCTCTCCTATTTATAAAGCTGAAGTATGTCAATAAAAGATTCGTGTTCTGCTAGGTTATTTGTAGTGGGAAATTCAAAATGCAATGATACTTTTTAGGGGTGGCAAAATAGATGGATTGGATGGATATGGATTGGATTGCTAATGGATGGATTAAAACAATCCATTAGTCCATTAAAATCCACTAAAATTTTATTAAAATTATCCAATCCGATCCATCCATTAAGAATAAAATCCATCCAATCCATCCATTAACATATTTTTAATGGATGGATATCCATCCATCCAACTTTTTTTTTTAATTTCGTAAAAATAAATATTTTTTTTTCAAAAACAAATTAGTTTTTTATTCTGAAAAAAAAAACCGATTTTTTTTTCCAAAAAAATAAGTCGTTTTTTTTTTCGAAAAACAAATCAGTTTTTTATTCTGAAAAATAAACCGATTTTTCAGAAAAAAAAATGATTTTTTTCCAAAAAAAAAGTCGGTTTTTTTTTCGAAAAACAAATCAGTTTTTTATTCTGAAAAAAAAACTGATTTTTTTCCAAAAAAAAAGTCGGTCTTTTTTTCGAGAAAAAATTTTATTTTTTTTCGAAAAACAAATCAATTTTTTATTCTGAAAAAAAACCGATTTTTTTCCAAAAAAAAAGTCGGCTTTTTTTTCGAGGAAAAAATTTATCTTTTTTTCGAAAAACAAATCAGTTTTTTATTCTGAAAAAAAAAATTGATTTTTTTTCCAAAAAAAAATGTCGGTTTTTTTTTCGAAAAATAAATCAGTTTTTTGTTCTGAAAAAAAACAGATTTTTTTTCAAAAAAAATAAAATTTTTTTTTCAGAAAAAAAATATAGTTTTTTTAATTATTTTTAAAAAAATCTAATTTTAAAAAAATAAATCTAACGAAAATAAAAATAATCCATTGGATCCTTAAAATATGTTGGATGGATTGAATTCATCCATGCATATAAATGGATGGATTTAATCCAATCCATTAACTTATTTTTTGTGTGGTGGATGGATTGGATGGATTTTTTGATGGATGGATTGGATGGATTTTGCCTTAATGGATTTAATTGCCACCTCTAATACTTTTACTATCAACCATGCTTCATTTGCGAGGATGTGTATAACACTGCTTTTCGCGCGCTATTGGATGATTATTTGTGAGGATCACTCACATTGTGCATGGTTCGAGTGTGGTCGACATCATTTTTTAAGGAAGTCTGTAGATACTTGGGTTCTCAAGACTTTCCCTTGTTCAAAGAGGATATCGAACTCGGATATCTCAATTGATCATTTCGTCATCTGTACCACCATGTCCAACCTATGGAAGACTTGCTTGAGAGGCTGGTAAGTCTGCAAGAGATGGTATACACCAAGAAGTAACATTGCAACATTCTCAAAGTTATGATTAAGGCCAAAGGCATTTTCTCAATAATGCGTTTATGGGCTGGCTAGCTCTTACTATATGAAATATATCGCGCTTTGTACGGTTCCAAAATCGCAGACGAGGACAATATTGAGGAAATTTTACCCCATACTCCTACACTTATACTCACACTCATACACTAAAAAATATTGGACTAAAATACCCTTGTTTAAATATTTATAGTTTTAGAAAAATTTTCACTTTCACTTCATTTCCATTTCAACACTTCCGGAGCACTCATTTTTTACATACAAACCGGAACTCTTCCAACAAGTCATCCGGAACACATTTTTTGACCTACACATACCGGAACTCCAATAGTAAGTCTTCCGGTTTGATAAATTTTTTGGTTTGTTCACCGAAAGACTTTATGTATGTCTTCCGATTTGTAGTTATTTTTGGTTTCTTCACCGGAAGACTTAATGCATGTCTTCCGGTTCATAATTTTTTGATTTTGGTCACCAGAAGTCTTTGATTAAGTCTTTCGGAACACACGTTTTACGTTTTGTTCACCGGAAGTCTTTGATCAAGTCTTCCGGTTCATGTTCTTTTTTTAATTTTTAATTTTTAATTTTTAATTATATTTATAAATTTATTTTTTTTGTCAGTGGTGCGCACACGAGGCAGAGATGGTAGGATCCCTCGTGGACTAGAATGGGGCGAGTCATCGAGAATGGCTCAAGAAGAGCATTTTGATGCATCAGCATCAGCATCCAAGCCTGTTGGATATCCAGGAGGACCGTATGATACCTCGCTTTTAGTTAAGTACGAACATCATGTTGTCAGACATATATGGTTCGGTGAGGTAAGTAAATGAAAATTATTTAATATTGAATAAAATTCAAATTTTTAATATTAAATTTTATAATATATTTACTTTTAATTGTTTTCAGGAGAGAGGGTCGAAGAAAGAGTTAAAGGTAGCGGGACATGGCTTGAAGTTGATTCAGAGGGTTCCATTACAGCTACCCAGAGAGATGGAGGGCTGGATATCTAGGTTTGGTCTAACTTCACTCCAGAGAACCAGTTTAACAAAGATAGACACGAACCTAGTTTCCGCATTTGCAGAGAGATGACATCTAGAGACATCTTCATTTCACATGTCGTTTGGTGAGATGACGATTACTCTAAATGACGTATCTTGTTTGCTTTACTTGTCCATCAGGGGAGTCTTCTAGAGCCCTCAAGATATCGGTGAAGCGCTTGTTGTTGAGTGGGCTGTTGATTATTTAGGAGTGTCACAAAGAGTAGCACGACAACAAGTCTGTGACTGCAGGGGTTCCTACTATAAGTTGGAGTGGTTATATGATCGATTCGTAGAGCACAGAGTTGCATCTAGACAGAGTTATGCCACTAGAGCTTATTTGCTGATGTTAGTGGGTTCCACTATTTTTGCGGACAAGACATTTACGCTTGTCGAGGCACGATACCTCTCACTATTTATAGACTTGGATGGCTTATCAGGATACAGTTGGGGAGCAGCTGCGTTGGTTACTCTTTATAGATATCTCAGAGATGCTTCCATGTTCAGTTGTTAGCAGCTTGGTGGTTATCCGACTCTCCTACATGTATTTATTTTAATTTAGTATATTTTGTTTTAATTAATTTTATCTAGTATATTAATTTTATTTGTCTAGTTTATTATGTTATAATTAATTATTTTAAATTTAGTAACCATATTAATTTTGTAACAGTGCTGGATTCATGAGTATTTTCCAACACTTGGAAAAAGAGGAGAGAACTGGATACCAGTTAATAATGTGGGTCTCCCTCGAGCGATGAGATGGTCATATAGGCAAGGTGCCTTGAAGGTGGATGACTTGCGACCTATTCTGGACGAGCTGACACCTGCCGATGTCTTATGGTGCCCATTCGAGAATCATAGAGTATGGCGACAGTTTGATGAGTTATGTCTATAAGGGGTGTCTGAGGTGGGGTGACACTATTGTTCCATACTTGCCTGACAGATGTATGCGTCAGTTTGGATACAGGCAGTATATTCTGTAACACCCCGTTCCCAAAATAAAATAAAACAATCAAATAAAACACATATTAGAGTTTCTCTCCCAAACGGGATGCCACAACACACATCAAAATTTCCACCAATATTTTTCCAAATAATTTAACTGAATTTTTCAATAAAACTGCAGTGGAAAAAGATAGGGTCTGCCATAACACAAAATATCATATACATACATCATCCATATTCATCATCATCATCATATATACAATAACGGCCATCTGCCTCAAAATACATAACATCATCACTGATCAACATCAAACATCTCACAAAATATCAGATATGCCACGGGGCACACATATCAAAAATACACAATAATACTCCCAAAAATGCCCCGGTGTTACGTATAAGAGCAAACCTACGATGATGCCACAATCCAATCTAGCTAAACACCTGGATTGTCTGTACTTCCGAAGAAGCACAAACCACAACAACAGTACAGGGGTGAGAATCACGATCAAATAATAATGGTATAATGGTACATGAAATAAAAGGCAGAAATCAATGATAATACTATTTCATATACATATCATCCGGACTCACGGTCCCCACCATCAACCACAACACACAATCACGCAACAATGCACTCATACAACTCTTAACATGCGGTACCGACTCACAATCACGATGGGCACTTGGCCATCAACCCTCCACTTAGGGAGCACACCACACTGATGGGCAACTGGCCATCAACCCTCCACAATGGGAGCACCACAACAATACCGATGGACACCTGGCCATCACCCTCCTCAACGGGAGCACCTCATCAATATCGATGGACACATGGCCATCACCCTCCTCACCGGGAGCACACCAACAATACCGATGGTCACTGGGCCATCACCCTCCCCACAGGGAGCAAAACAATAATGCCGATGGTCACTGGGCCATCACCCTCCTCTACGGGAGCACACAACCATATTCACACACATCATACATCTAGCACACCAAGTGCAAACCGATCCTATGGATCCATCCCTCACACAATATATATAGACACGCGTACAAGGCGTACCGATCCCACGGGTCCATCCCTATCACAAAATACATATATAACAAGCACACACAGTGCGTCGATCCCACGGATCCGCTCACCACACAACTTATCACATACAATGCACACAAGGCATGTCGGTCCTACTGACCAAAATACCTCACATAACAACACACAAATGTAACTCATAATAAGCGTACCGATCCTCACATCTCACACACATCACACACACGGTGCACACGACCCCGCTGGTCCATCGCATCATAATATGCATACATACACAAGCACACAAAGTGCACCCATCCTACCGATCAACTCACCACACATCATGCACCTAAGGCATATCGGTCCTACTGACCCAATCATCACAACAACATATAAACACGACGCATATAAAGCGTATCGATCGTACAGATCCTCTCGTCACAACATATCACCACAACGCACTCAAGGCGCACCGATCCTACTGATCCAATCCTCATACCACAACATATAAACGCAACGCATAACAAGCGCATCGATCCTACGAATCCACATCCATCTCACAACACATCACCACACATAGCACATAGTGCATACATATCACATACACATCCATACTTATCTAAACTTAACACATAATCCACCGATTATGTCTAATGCGACACACGCCGGCCACACGGCCCTCCCACACCTCAGCATACTCTTAACACCCAACTATCATCGC